TGCTGGGTTCTCGATTTGCCAGGTTTGATTTTTTTTTTTTTAAATATTTATGTTTAGAAGCTTGAATTTTATGGATATTTTTGGGTTGCAGCTGATTATTTTGCCAGTGAATATTTTGTTTGTGTGGGCTGTTCTCATTGAGAATTTGGCAAAATTTGGTTGAGGGAAAAAATTTGCCCATATGGCAGGGTTTGGTTCCTTGTGAACCTAGCTCCTGGGTTCGCAAGGAACCTAAGCGTGCTGGGTTCGTTGCGAACCCAGGCAAGCGTGCTGGGTTCTTCGATCTGTTGGGTTCTCGATTTGCTAGGTTTGATTTTTTTTTTTTAAATATTTATGTTTAGAAGCTTGAATTTTATGGATATTTTTGGGTTGCAGCTGATTATTTTGCTAGTGAATATTTTGTTTGTGTGGGCTGTTCTCATTGAGAATTTGGCAAATTTTGGTTGAGGGAAAAAATTTGCCCATGTGGCTGCTTATGATTATCGAACCCAGCAGATCGAGAACCCAACAGATCACTGGGTTCGATCAAGAACCCAGCGAGGGTTCGATTTCTTTTTTTTTTTTAATATTTATGTTAGAAGGTGTTAGGGTTTGCAGAAGGCCAAAGGGAAGGAAGAAGATGAAAGGAAGAAAATAAGAAAAAAAGGGAAAAGGAAATATTTTAAGGTTTTTTTTGCCATGTCATTATTTTTTTTGCCATATCATTCTTTTTTTGCCATGCTGTCATCTATTTCCGTCAGGTAATGGGACACGTCAATCAATTTTTAACGGAAGGACCAAATCGGGGTAAAAATGGTAAACAGTAGGGACCAAATCAAGGATTTTTTTAGTTCAAGGACCAAATCGGGGATCCGTACAATAGTTGAGGGACCAAAATGGGGTTTTAACCTACTAGTTTTTATGCTAAGATGGAGGCTATTTGGGATCAACTTGCTCTCTCAAAACCAACTTTCAATGACACTGCTGACATTGGGAAGTACATTGAGCATCGTGATAAAATGAGGTTAATTCAATTTCTTATGGAACTTACGAATGATTTTGAACCATGCAGAGCCTCTTTATTGCATCAATCTCCTTTACCTACCTTGGATAGTGCTCTCTCACGACTATTTTCTAATGAAAGTCGTCTGGGCTTACTTAAGCCTCAACGAGATAATACTGTGGCTGCAACTATTAACAAGTTTTCTTCGAGTAAGAAAGGGCAGAAGTATTGTCGTCACTATAAGAAATATAGACATGCTATCTATGAATGCAGTCTAGTAGAATGTCATAAATGCAAGCAGAAAGGCCATATTGCTCCTAATTGTACTACTCCACTACCTCAGAGATCTGATCAGTGGAAGACTCAATCAAAGCCTGATCAGTTTCCCAAGCTTGTGGTTGCTGCAGCTGCTGCCAATGAGGACACCTCAATCCACCCTTCGATTGGTAATCTAGAAACCCTTCTTAGACAGATGATATCATCCTCCTCTACATCTATTGCCTTACCTACCATCCCAGGTAAAGTTTCTTGGATTTTTGACTCTGGTTGTTGCAATCATATGACTTCAAACTCTACACTTTTTTCTACATTAACCCCTAATAGTACTGCACCTCCAATTCATACTGCTGACGGTTCACAAATGCAAGTTAGCCAATATGGTCAAGTTTCTACTTCTGCCCTTACCTTACCAAACACATTCCTAATACCAAAACTTAGTTTCAATCTTATTTCTGTGGGACAACTGTGTGAAATTGGTCTTGAACTAATATTTTCTACTCATGGTTGTCGTGTGCAGGACCCACAGACGGGACAGATTCTTGGGACAGGCAGTAAAGTTGGACGTTTGTTAGAGCTCACCTTTTTGCACATCTCTTCCAGTTACGTTTCCTAGTTGTGTGCAGTCTCAACATCTTCTTCTTTGCACTTATTGCATCTTCGTCTTAGTCATGCCTCTATTAGTAAACTTCGTCCTTTAATTCAAAATGGGTCCTTAGGTTTTGTTAGAGAAGAGTCTTTACATTGTGTCTCATGTGAAGTTGCTAAACAGCCTGCTTTATCTTTTAATAAAAGTGATTCCATTTCACTTGCACCTTTTGATTTAGTACATTTTGACATATGGGGGCCATCTCCCACTTCTACCATGGGTGGTTCAAAATATTTTGTGTTATTTATTGATGATTATTCTCGCTTCACTTAGCTATATTTGATGAAGAAATGCTCAGAATTACCTCAAATTTATTTTGAGTTTGCTAATATGATAAAAACTCAATTCTCTAAAACTATCAAAGTCTTGAGAACTGATAATGCTCTTGAGTATCTTGATTCTAAATTTAAGTCTTTTCTTAAAGAGCAAGGCACCATACAACAAAGATCTTGTCCATATACCTCTCAACAAAATGGGTGGGTTGAGCATAAACATCGTCATATTTTGGACTTAGTTCGTGCTCTCCTGATCTCCTCTTTTTGTCCTAAGCGTTTTTGGGGTGAAGCTGCACTTACAGCTGTCTATGTCATAAACCGAGTCCCATCTACTGTCACACAAAATAGATCTCCCTATGAGTGTCTCTATGGTATTCTTCTTGCCTATGATCTTCTTAAAGTTTTTGGTTGTGCTTGTTTTGTTCTTTTACCTTCTCATGAACGTCACAAGTTAGAGCCTTGAGCTCGACTTCATTGTTTTCTAGGGTATTGGATACAACATAAAGGTTATTGTTGTTGGGATCTAGTATCACAAAAACTCCGTGTCTCTCGTCATATTGTTTTTTGGGAAGATACTATGTTTGCATCTCTTTCTGAATTCAAGGTGTCTCCTTCTCATCAAACTCCTGTCTTCACTAATCCATCTCTTGAGTTATTTCCTAATGATGATGCAGAGTCTCTTGATGAGCTTTCAAATGATCAAACTACCATGGTTCCTATTTCAGAACATGTCTCTTCTGTGGATATTGCACTTGGAACAAATGAGATTGAAAATCCCTCAGTTGCCTCCTCTTCCAGTCATCCTATTCGGGTAAGACATCCACCTACATATCTTCAAGATTACCATTGTTTTTCTGCACTTACCTCTTTACATGAGCCTCAGTCCTACAAGGAAGCTTCTTTAGATCCTCTATGGCAGTAAGCTATGAAAGAGGAATTACAGGCTTTGGAAAAGACAAGTACTTGGGATTTGGTTGATCTTCCTACTGATAAGACTCTTGTTGGATGCAAGTGGGTATACAAGATCAAAAGTCGTTCTAATGGATCTATGGAGCGCTATAAGGCACGTCTGGTGGCAAAGGGTTTTACACAGGAATATGGCATTGATTATGAAGAAACTTTTGCTCTTGTTGCTCGTCTTACCACAGTACGCAGTTTACTTGCTATTACTGCTGTACAAAAATGGAAGTTGTTTCAGATGGATGTGAAGAATGCCTTTCTTAATGGTGATTTGGAAGACGAGGTTTATATGAAACCGCCTCCTGGACTTACTCATCCTTCGAATAAGGTATGTAGATTGCGACGAGCCTTGTATGGCTTAAAGTAGTCTCCTCGAGCTTGGTTTGCAAAATTCAGTTCTACTGTAAGTGAGTTTGGTTTCACATCAAGTCCACATGATACTGCTTTATTTATCCGTAAATTTGCTCAGGGAATGGTTCTCTTACTCATATATGTTGATGATATGATTATCACTCAAGATGATGCTTCAGGAATTGATGAGCTTAAGCAGTTTCTCAGCCACAAATTTGAGATGAAAGATCTTGGCTCTTTGAGTTATTTTTTAGGACTTAAAGTTACATCATCAGATGATGGCTATCTTCTCTCTCAAGTGAAATATGCATCAGATCTCGTGTCTAAAGCTAGTCTCACTGATAGTAAGATTGTCTCCACACCTCTCGAACTGAATGTTAAGCTCACAACATTAGATGGCTCTCCACTTGCTGACCCTACTCGTTATCGACAATTGGTTGGGAGTTTGATTTATCTTACTATGACACGCCCAGACATAACATATGCAGTTCATGTTGTTAGTCAGTTTATGACTGCTCCTCAATAGTTAGACATAACATATTGAGGTTGATTGTCATTTTATTTGATATCATGTTGCCAAAGGAACTATCCACCTGGTCTTTATTGACTCTACTGATCAGTCGGTGGATCTTTTCACGAAGGCTCATTTTCTTGGAAGCTTCCACACTCTCTTTTCTAAACTCAAGCTGGTCTCCTCATCACCACCTTGAGTTTGAGGGGGGATGTTATAGACAGAATATTCTTGATTATGTTCACATTATAATTGATTGATATAATTAGATTAATTGATTTTGTACCATAGAATATTCTTGTGTATAGGCCTATAAATAGGCACCTTGTATAGTCATATGAATCAAGAAAAAAGTTTTTCTTCATATTTTTCTCTCCTGCATTATTTCCTCACAAGAGAAAAATGTAAACTAGAATCAAAGTGTGAGAAATGAGATAGGGGTTTTTGATGGGGTTGATGAACCCTTGATCATGCCAAATTCTCTGGCCCCTGCACAAGCCCCACTTGAAATGGAAACGAAAAATAATATTTATAAATTTCAAAGAATTTTGAAAAAGAAAATCTGCAGGGTAGTTAATGGACATGGAGAAAGATTTGTTTAGACCCTTGGTTATGGATTGAATGAGGAGGAGAAGGATTTTGGCAGTACAGTCCTAACCTTTTCGATTAGTC